CATCACTTAATGGAATGGGTGGATGCTACAGTTACGTAATGCAATCGTTAAAACCATGGAAACAGGGTATTGATATTGCCCAGAGGGGGGGGGGGAGGGGGGTAATCCCCCTCAAATTTTTGCGCGTGTAAAAAAAAAAAAAAAAATTGTGTGTGCCGAAGGGTGAACAAAAAAACGGACCTTCAGTTTTCAGTTACCAAAATAAGAAACAATTACAACAAAAAATACATTTAAATAATAACAAAATTCATTGCGTTGGCCGGGAATCGAACCCGGGTCAATTGCTTGGAAGGCAACTATGCTAACCACTATACCACCAACGCTCCCTCTTTTACCCACCTTCACATTTAGAAAGTTAAATTGTGGCAAAAAGCAACGATTCTGTTTGTTTGTTTTTTATGGTAACGTGAGAGTGATGATCAAGTTCAGAATAGACATGTTTTTATGTTTTAGGTAGGCCTATAATAGTTCGAATGAGAAAATAAAGTAGAGAGACAGAGGGATAAAGAGCGATAGCGAACGACCCAAAACGGAAAGATATACAGAGAGGGAGGGAGAGAACGAGAGAGAACAAGAGAGAGAGAGGGAGAGAGAGAGAGAGAGAGAGAGAGAGAGAGAAAGTAGGTGAAAATGTTTGTAATTATTATTTTTGTGAATAATGTCTGTATTATCGTTTGATAAGTTGTTATTTAAGCAGAACCTACACAAATAAAAGGTTTGCGTTGACCGGGAATCGAACCCGGGTCAATTGCTTGGAAGGCAACTATGCTAACCACTATATCACCAACGCTTATCTTGATGTATTTCATGTATAGTCAAGTTTAAGTAAAACACTGTCAAGATAAATTTGCAGGGTACCTATCAGCGCCCACCCCCCCCCCCCCACCCCTAGGATTTTCATCACCCCCTCTCCGACTAATTTTTTTTTCGCTCCTATTCTGGTGAGAAAGTCTCTAGGCTCTTTACTCACCCACACCCTCACCCACACCCCCTCCCACAATCTGTAAGGACGGTCCTGGTTAAATGCAGTAGCTGGAAGGTTGGAAGGGAACATCGTGGCCTTTCAAGCCACATCGACATAGTAGCCACGTAGTCATGGTATTGTACTAAGTTTGGTGAAACAGGGTCACCGAAAAGGCCTCCAACAATGATGACCTGACCTATGGGCTACCGTTCCCCGGTTACACACAGTGTACTATCTAGGATTGAAAATCCATCTTCCCATTCTTTCTTTTTCCTTTTTTCTTTCTTTTGAGTAAATATCAAAGAAATAATTTTATGAAATAAAGATGAGAAGAATGAATAACATTATTAAAAAATACATAAAAAAGAAGAAACGCTCCTGGGTGGGCTTGAACTACCAACCTTTCGGTTAACAGCCGAACGCGCTAATTCGTCGCTGTTTTCACGAAGTGACGGTAGTGAAAAAAAATTGCATTCACTTTGCGTTACGATTTTCCTCATTACCGTCACTTCGTGAAAATATTGCGCCACAGAAGCTTCGTTATACAGGCATATACAGGGAGTGAGGGAGGGAGGGAGAGAGGGAGGGAGGGAGTGAGGGAGATAGGGAGATATAGAGAGAGAGATATATATATATAGAGAGAGAGAGAGAGAGGGGGAGAGGGGGAGAGAGAGAAAATTGTGATTATCATTTTTGTGAATATTTTCTGTAATCATCGTTTGATAAGTTGCAAGCAGAATCTACAAAAATAAAAGATTGCGTTGGCCGGGAATCGAACCCGGGTCAATTGCTTGGAAGGCAACTATGCTAACCACTATACCACCAACGCTTGTCGACATCCCGATGATTTTCTAAAGGATTTTGTCAAATGTCGACATTTATGTGAGTCTGCTGTAACTAAGGAAACTGGCATTATCTGACGCTTAACGCTTTTTTCTTTCTTTCATTACATCCATTACTTTCCAACAACTGACTGAAATACCCGTTTGATCGAATTGTTTGAAGGAAGGGGGTGAGAAATAGAAAGAAATGGGAGAATGGAGAGACAGGGTGAGAGATGAAGATATATTCATAGATGAAAGGGTGAAAGAAACAGTGTAATAACGGAAAAGTTTGATACGAGATAAGATATAGGGACAGAAGAGAGTACAAATATTGATACAAGAAATAAGAAAGAGGTGAGAAATAGAGGTGACAAATAGGGGCAATGATACTGGAAAGAAAAAGAGCTTAGGGAAAGTGAGAGAAATATCGAGATCATAGGGAGAGATGAGAGATGGAAAATGAGCTGAAAATTATAAAGAAAGAGAAAAGGTGGAATAATAGCGATCATAGGGAGAGATGAGAGAGGGGGAATGAGCTGAAAATTATAAAGAAAGAGAAAAGGTGGAATAATAGAGAGCTAAGGAGGAGCGAGCGAAGAAAAAGAGAGAGAGAGAGAGGGGGGGGAACAGATGGACACAGAAAAAGAAACGACGGAACGGAGAGGGAAATGGCGAAATACGTTGCTTTGCAAAGTTATTTTTGTCGATCGTCTGAAAAAAGAATTTTGTCCTTGGAAATAAGTGAAAATATACTTAGGCTTAAAAATATATAATGTAAAATATAATTTTTTTATCAAATTATTTGGGTATTCAGTTCCAGGAGGTATCGCTGTTTTCACGAAGTGACGGTAGTGAAAAAAAATAGCATTCACTATGCGTTATGATTTTCCTCACTACCGTCACTTCGTGAAAACAAGGACGAACTGCTCTTCAGATTGAAAGCAATGATTTGTTTCTTAATCCGTCTTCCCGCCTCCCTTTGAAGAGGTGTGAACGGTTATCGAGCCATAATTGGTCGAGAGTTCGGCCGTGAAAAGATCAAAGTCCAGTCTGTTGTATAAGCCGCTCTCATATAAACATTGCGTCTTGAACTGATGACGTAAAAAAGAATACGGTGACGTAACAAAGAACTTACCGAAGTACATGCCACTCCCAGTCAAATGGCTTATTACGTAATCTGAACATGATGTTTTTTGGAAAATACAATAGGATATCGAGTTAATTTTTCGAAAATAGACACAATCGTGTTTTGAGATAAAACACTTTCATACTTCAAACGTTCGAGTATTGCGACATTTCAAGAAATGTAATTAATGAGCCTCACATGTCGACATGAATATTAATGATAAACATGCACGTTCACTTTTTTTTTCTCAAAATATTTAACCTTCTTTGTTTATACACATATTACTCGAATAACGCAAATGTGTGTATCATGCATGTAGTTTGTTTTCCAAAACATAGAGGATGTGTGAAGACAATGAGAAACGGTAAGAAAACGATATTCAAAAGTAAAGAAAACAATTCGAGACAAAACTAGTGATAGCTAGACTGAATTTGAGCTTTCACTAAATGGAATAACAATATATTAGATATCCCTTTCTTGTGTATGTCAGAAACCCCCAATTATAATAATTATTCACTTTGTTTGCATTATTTTACAACCAGTATTGAAAAGTAGAGTAGAGAAAAGGTCGTTCAACACTGTCAATAAAAGTTATTCCGCTTAATCCTACAACACCAATAATATTATTGTGAACAAAAACCTATTGACGCGTCACTATTCTAAAAAAGAATGAACGCCGATAATACCAAACAACACTAACTGGACGTTTTCTCAAGCTGTGATTGTTCGAGAGTTTGTCGGCTGACTAGAAAGTAAATTATTACGACGCTATTTGTCAAGCCAATTTAAATTGGCCACTCGTTGGTGACGTAACAATGGCATTCATTCTATTGCAGGTGCCTTGCATCGCGGATCTCGGTCAAAGGCAGAAATACCGACGTGAATATGATTAAGCGAGAAGAAAAATATGGAATTCTTTTGCTAAATAAGAGTCTGATTTTTTTCTTCTCAAATAAATCGCATTTCAAGCAAAAAAACTAGATGAGAGTTTTTTGACGAGCACCATTATAAGATGAAAGCAGACAATTATATTTACTAATAAATGAGCATAGAATTGCAACAATGAATCTCGATTCATCGACTTTTCTTCACCTATTTCCAAACGTTATCTTTTTTTTTTTTTTTGGGGGGGGGGTTATATACTCGATGAATTCTATCCATCTCAGATCCATGTATTTGATCAATCTTGTTCATTGTAACTTTTTATTATTATTTGCGACACGAGAAATAATATGGAACTGGTTTTTCTCTGTAAAGTTCCACAAAAACGCGTAAATTTTCCTGGCTCGCAGTTATGCCCAAAACTAATCTAAGGTCTAATTAGTATGATGCAGTCACAAAACAAGAAAAACCAATGAAATAAAAACAAACGTGAAAAAACAAAATTATACCGCACTTGTTTGTAATAAGCCTCGAAGTGTAATATACAATAAGTCTGGTTAAGAGGAAGAACCGATCCTAATGTAATATCTGTACCACTATACATCACTATCATTATAATCAGATTAGGCCTATAAGATATTGAATAGGAACTTTATTTTGGACGTAAGGATAATGAAGAACAAATGTCATCGAATAAAATTACTGGCAAGTTTTATATTCAACTGTTATCTCTCATTGACATTCTGTCTACGTTGCGCGATAATTTTTTTTGGGGAATACGATTGTACACTTTAGATTGTCATGTTGGGCAAACCCGAATGAAAACTCTACTGTGATCAGACTGGATTTGAATTAATATCTCTAAAAATAAGAATATCACAAGGGCTATTGAACGTTCACCAGCACGTTACATAATAAGATTTCGTTCCGTAACAAAGTATTTAATTACACTCCTCACAACAGTGTAATCCACGATATAGATTATTGAAAGAGAGAGGCACTTTAGAAGCTATTGTTTCGCGCGTTGATAGTTGGCGGTGACAAAAGACTGACATTTCTATAGCGATAATTAGTTCTCCTCTCTGATTGGTCCGTTTCAGCAGCCTGTCATCACGCGGCACCTACTGGGCAAACTCTCGACCAATCACTGACTGCAATAGATTACCGAGTATGAATGTAATCAAATAAATACAAGGTAAAAGTGACACAAATACCATTCTGACTCTTGACTGCTGATCGAGGAAGGCATATTTACCGGTTCATCTCTTTTGAAAATCTTTGGAAAATACTTTTGTTTGTACTACGATAAGGATCTCACTTATAGCCTACATGGAGTAAGTATTGAATTTGTCATTTTTCACCATACCTTTTATATTTCCAACACACTAAATATTCTCGCGGTCAAAACAGAATGACACAGCTTGACATGGTCAGGATATTTATTTTTTTGTTGAAACACATGTCACATTTACTATGTAAAAGCAAGTTTTGTTTGTGATCGAATTTGTTGTTTTTCCTTAAGAAAGTAATTCTTGTTAGAATTATTGGTAATCCAGAACTAAAGTTAAATGAATTTCTCTGAATCATAGTCTAATGCTTATTCTCTCCTCTTTTTCCTTTCAGGTCGACTCCTTTCCTCACCAACCCTTTGCGGGCCACTCTACCCGTCCTCTTACCGATGGCCCGGAGTGCCGCCATGCCCATCCCTGTCAAGATACACGAGCCCGACTTCAACAAGGCCATCGCCTCCGTCATCTGGGCTCGACATCGTCGACAACCAACCTCGAGCATCTTTAACTGCCATGTCTCGAACTGTCCCCTATGCCAGACTACAAGAGCTCCTGATAGACCTTCGGTGGAGGTCAAGAGGAGGTCACAACCGCAACAGGTGAAGGCGTCATCAACTGATCAACCCTCAGTCGTCAACTGGTTGTTACCGTCATCGACACCAACGCCGAGCCTCGTAGCGGATCGTAAGAGAGCTTCGTCACGGACGCCATCCCCGACGAGGAAGCGATTCGCCCCGTCACCTCCGCCCGTTCACCGCTTCAAGTGTCGATCATGTCCCAAGTCGTTCGCCAAGAAGACACATCTTCGCATCCATCGCCGGATTCACAACGGACGTCATGTTTACTGCTGTCAGTACTGCCCGATGGTCTTAGCTTGTCCGTCTCAATTGATCAGGCATCGTCGCGTTCACACCGGAGAGCGGCCGTATCGATGTTCGTTCGAGGGATGTGAAAGAGACTTCACGTGCCGCAGCAGCCTCAACAGACACTACAAGATGCATTTCCCGGTGGCAGGCTTGAGAGGATAAGGATTATTTCGTGCAATTCAAGTTCTTATGAGATGATGCTCCATGTTTGGGCAGTATATACAATTTGTTTATGTTTCATGAATCTGAATAAATGCGTTTTCAAATTTAAATACTCGACTTATTGTGTGTTTTTGTTTGTCGAAATTAACACCAAATGAGAGGGAAAGAAGAAAGATGTTAAATGACACCTTAAAAATAGGCACGGTCGATACTTTCGAAAAATCAAAGACAATTTCAATAGCCTTCTACATCATCAGAAATGTGGGAACAATGAGAGAGAGAGAGAGAGAGAGAGAGAGAGAAACAGACAGAAAGAAAGGTAGTCAGGCCTACAACAAAGTGTGTAAGCTTCTTAGGTGATAATATTACTATTTAACTAATTTGTTGATTACTTTTCTTAAGAATATTCTGCTTCCACAAATGAAAAAAAGAAGAAAAAGTTACATGTGCGTTGGCCGGGAATCGAACCCGGATCAATTGCTTGGAAGGCAACTATGCTAACCATTATACCACCAACGCTTTACACAGTATCTGAGGGATTTCGTTGACCCATGTTCTTTTTTTGTGTCAGTAGCGGGGATTCTGACGTTTCCAAGGTAACGAGGACCTATGACTAGATTAACCCTTTCTTTACAAACTGCAACTCGGGTTTTAAAAAAAAAGTGTGGAGTCGATGGCAATTAAGAAAATGGAGGGAGGGGCATGGTAATACAAACACACCCCCAAACAAAAACAGCGAGCAAAAATCTCATATTACTCTCAAAGACATCTAAACAAACGCAAATGTTTTGTATAAATGGTAACATAAGATTAGAAACAGCTGACTGTGAGCTAAATTATAGAAAAGAGCATATAATATAAGCCTTTTTTATCCATTGTACGTAATACATTATTGTTGAGAAAATAATCTTATTTAGGACAATATTATTGGCTAAATTATGTATTCTTCTAAATGCTTTCTACCTCTTCTTTAAATTTCTTTATACCAAGCTCACAAACCCCCTGTTGGCAATGAATTGATGTATTTTGTATATAATTTCATATTGAGGATTCACAACACTATATCGTTATCATTTAAGACTGGAAATAATATACCTGTAGTGCCATGTAAATAATCGACAATGGTATCCTAATTCATTAAAAAATAATACATCTCATGTGTCTTGGTGTCAGGCATTAAAAGACCATTTACTTGAGCGCAGTTTAGCATAAGTTTATTCTAAGTGTATTAAATGCCACGTCAACCAGGTTGCCACGTAAGCCACGGAAGCCGTCGAATCCCGGTATCCGAGCACCAGCATCAAATACAACAGTATGGGGCAAAACTATACTGACGGTGAAGTTCTTTCCATCTCTCCCTTTTTGTATCTCTCTCTCTCTCTCTCTCTCTCTCTCTCTCTCTCTCTCTCTCTCTCTCTCTCTCTCTCTCTCACACTCTTTCTCTCTCTCTCTCCCTCTCTCTCTCTCTCTCTCTCTCTCTCTCTCTCTCTATCCTCTCTTCTCATTACTCTTCTCTATACATCTCTCAAGTTCCCTGTCATCTTCTATATTCTCTCTCTTTCTCTATTTTTCTTCTCTCGCTCCTCCTTCTTTCGCGTCACCCCTCTTCCTTTTCTTGATCATTTCCTCCCCACTGTTCTCTCTCTCTCTGTTTTTTTTATCTTTCACGATGATCACGACATTTCTCTCACTATTTCTTAGTTCTCCTTTTTTCCCTTTCCTTTTATTTCCAATTATATTGCCCCTATTTCCCACCTTTCTTCACCTCTCTCTTATTTCTTGGATTCTCTCCATGTCTCCCTCTCTTTTCTCTGTCTCTGTCTCTGTCTCTGTCTCTGTCTCTCTCACTTACTCATTCTTTCTCCCTGTCTCTCTCTCTCTCAGGATTCCCTCTCTTTCTTTCCCCTCTCTTTCTCTCTCCATCTATAAATCCATTCTCACTCTCCTCATTTCTCTTGCTCTTCTCTTTCCATTTCTCTCTTATTTCTTATATCAATAACAAAATTAGAAATAACATATACATTTTAAATTCTAAGTGTGTTTCCATGGACAGTATTCTTATCCCCGACGATCGACAACAAAACAGAGAGGGAGGTTTATGTAATGAAAGAGAGAGAGAGAGAGGGAGATAGAGGGAGATAGAGAGAAACAGATGGACAGAGACAAAAAAGGGAGAAACGGAGAGGGATATGGCAAAATACATTGCTTTGCAAAGGTTTTGTTGTCGATCGTCTTGGATAAGAATACTGTCCGTATATAGGCCTCAGTGAAAATAAACTTAGAATTTTAGATATGTAAGTTATATTAATTTTTTCTGTTATCAATTTATTGGGATATTTAGTTTAAGGAGCTATCTGAGTTCGGTATTTTTAACAGCAGCTCATCAGATTGAAAGCAATGATTTGTTTCTTCATCCGTTTTCCCGCCTCCCTTTGTTGAGGTGTGAACGGTTATCGAGCAATGATTGGTCGAAAGTTCGTCCATGAAAAGATCAAAGTCTAGTCTATTGTATCAGCCGCTCTCACATTGCGCCTTGCATTGATGACGTAACAAAGAACACGGTGACGTAACAAAGAACTTACCGAAGTACATGCCACCGACAGTGCAGAATGCGTCTTCAATAACTGTTTCAATTTAATGAACGAAAACGTTTGAAAAAGTCGGTGATATACTTGAATCTGCTTTTATTTATTTATCATCGAAGTCGTGAATTTTTGTGGGTATATTAATGTTAGCTACATTGTATGACATATTAGTTAATTGATACTAAAAGTGAAAAATGAATCATGAACAAAAATATATCTGCAAGAAATGATACCATCATAAAATCCACACAAAAATCAGACAGACAAAATATAATCAACAACCAAAATGATAATCTCTTTGTAAAGAGATGGTTGTTAATATATAAATTAGCTTTTTTGTTGTTGTTGTTGTTATTTTCTTTTCAATTTTGTTGTAGTGCCGGCTAGAAACAAACATTCCCAGCTTTGTGAAATAAAAAACATAATTTTATCAGCGTATGTCATTTTTGTGATAAATATCTACAGGGAGCATTTCTTTAATTTAATTGCATCTTGAAATATCTTTTGAACACGATCGCAACTCCTTTAACTTTAGGTAATTTAATTTCAATAGAATTATTCAAATGGCTTATTTCGTTATCTGAACTTAAAGCTCATATTCAGTCTAGCTAGCACTAGTTTTGTTTCGAATTGTTTCCTTTTCTTTTAAATATATCGTTTTCTTAAGATTTGTAATTGTTTTCACACATTTTCTCTGCTTTGGAAAACAAACTGCACGTCTGATGTACCGTTCGCGTAACTCGAGCAACAAGTGTCAAACTAAGAAAAATTTAAAAGGGTATTTTGAGACATATTAAATGAACGTGCATAGTTATCATTAATATTCATGGCGACATATGTATAGATCATTAATTACGTTTCTTGAAATGTCACAATTAACGAACGTTTTGAAGTATGTGTATGTTTCATCTCAAAACACGATCGCGACTATTTTCGAAAAATCAACTCAATACCCTATTCTATTTGTCATAACCGTAGTCACTGAATAGAATAACAATAAATTACATATCCCTTTCTTGTGTATATCAGAAACCTCCAATTATACAAACTATTCACTTTGTTTGCATTATTTTACAACAAATTAGTATGGTAGAGAAAAGTTCGTTCAACCCTGTAAATAAAACGTTATTCCGCTTAATCCTACAACACCAATCGTGATCAAAAAATATTGACCCGTCACTAACTGATCGTTTACTCAAGCTGTGATTGGTCGAAAGTTTGTCGGCTGACTACAAAGTAAATTCTATTATGACGGTATAGGTCAGCCGCTTGAAATTGACCATTCATTAGTGACGTAACAATGGCATAAATTGATTGCAGGTGCCCCGCACCGCGGCTCTCGGTCAAAGGCTGAAACGTCAACGAGAATATAATCAAGCGATATACCCATCTGAAGAAAATCAGGGAATCTTTTGCTAAATAAGAATCTGATTTTTGTTCTTCTTCGTAACCCAAGTTTTTCAAATAAATCGCATTTCAAACAAAATAATCTCAATGAAAGTTTGTTCGACGTGCACCACTATAGATGAGTACAGAATTGCATCACTGAATCTTGATTCAACGATTTTCTTTCACCTATGTTCCAAAAGTTATTTTTTATTTTTTATTTATTTATTTATTTTTTTTTTTTTTTTTTTGGGGGGGGGGTTATATACTCGATGAATTGTATTTGTTTCAGCTTTAAGTATTTGGTCATTCTTGTTCATTGTTCCTTTTTATTATTATCTGTGACACGATAAATAAAACGTCACAGGTTTTTCTCGGTAACTACAACATCGTGTAAATTCTGCTGGCTGACAGTTATGTTAAAAACTCATCTAAAGTCTGATTGATATCATGTAGTCTCAACAACAAAATATCAATGAAAAAACAAAACAAAATCACAAATTTTCCCACACTTTATTTTGATCGTAAGAAAAATGAAAGAATAAATGTCATGGAATTACATTACTGGCATCTTGTATATTAAACTGTTTTCTCTCATTGACATTCTGTTTACGTCGCTTTAGATGTTCATGTTCGGCAAACCTGTCTGAAAACTTTACTGTGGTCAGATTTTAATTGAGATTTCTAAAATATAAGAATATTACAAAGAGTATTGAACGTTGACATAGCACGTTACATAATAATAATTCCTTCATGACAAAGTATTTAATGATAATCCGCGATCTTAGATCATTGAAAAGGAGAGGCACCTTCGAAGCTATTGTTTCGCGCGTTGATAGTGGGCGGCAACAAAAAAAATGAGATTTCTATAGCGATAATTAGTCCTCCTCTCTGATTGGTCTGTTTCAGCAGCCTGTCATCACGCGGCACCTGACCAATCACTGACTGAAATAGATTACGGAGTATGAATGTAATCAAATAAATACGAGGTAAAATTGACACAAATTACCATTCTGACTCTCGACTGCTAATCCAGGAAGGCACATTTACCGGTTCAACTCTTTCGAAAATACTCTTGTCACTGTTTTTCTCAGCATGGTGATCCCTGTCGAGTTACACGAGCCCGACTTCAGCAAGGCCATCGCCTCTGTCATCTGGGATCGACATCGTCGACAACCAACCTCGAACATCTTTAACTGCCATGTCTCGAACTGTCCCCTCTGCCGGGCTACAAGAGCTCTTGATAGACCTCCGGTGGAAGGCAAGAAGAGGTCACAACCGCAACAGGTGAAGGCGCCTGGAACTGATCAACCCTCAGTCGTCAACTGGTTGATACCCTCGTCGACACCCACGCCGAGCCTCGAAGCGGTTCGTAAGAGAGCTTCGTCACGGACATCATCCCCGCCGAGGAAGCGTTTCGCCACGTCACCTCCGCCTTCGCCCGATCACCGCTTCCAGTGTCGCTCATGCCCCGAGTCGTTCGCCAAGAAGATTCATCTTCGCATTCATCGCCGCGTTCACACCGGATATCATGTTTACTGCTGCCAGGACTGCCCGATGGTCTTCGATTGTCCGTCTTCGTTGACCAGGCATCGTCGCGTTCACACCGGAGAGCGGCCGTATCGATGTTCGTTCGGGAGATGTGAAAGAGACTTCACACGCCGTTGCGGCCTCAACAGACACTACAAGATGCATCTCCCGGAAGCAGACTTGAGAGCATAGCCACCTAGCTGACGAGTCTTTATTAATACTAGACTATATCAGAACTCATATTCTCTTAAATGTGATTATTGACGAACTCATGAAGATTAGATGCATGGGCAGAATATCCATTGTTTTATGTTTCATGAATCTGAATAAATTCGTTTTCAAATTTCAACACTCTTTTGTTTATTGTGTGTTTTTGTTTGTTGTTTTTAACACAAAATGAGAGGAGAAGAAGAAAAATAATCAGCGCGGTCGATTTCTTCGAAAATCAAAGGCAATTTCAATAGCCTTCTTTATAAATGTGGGGACAGTACAGTTACGTATTTGGATATTGAAAATGATCCTAGCGTTGATTTGTTGAAAGTTGTTCCATAGAATGTGAGAATACGAAGGGAGCGATATTTAGAAAGAGGAAGAAGAAATGGAAAGACAATTGAGAAAGATAAAATAGTTCGCATTACAGAGATGTATTACGGGAGGGAAATATGGACATTGAATAGCAAGAGAGCGCGAGAGAGATGTGATATTTTGAGGGGTATGATGGAGCGGCAGGGACATAGAACAAAAAGAGAAATACGACCTTGGAAAGAGAAACAGAATTGAGAAATAGAGAGAGAAACAGACATATGTAAAAGGAGTACCGCTACAAGAAAAGCTGTACGCTTCTTAGGTTATAAAACTATTGTTTAACGCATTTGCTTTTCTCAGGGAGATTCCTCCCATCTCCCTGTTATTCTTAAAAATATTCTACTTCCGCAAAAGAATCAAAAAGAATGAAAAATATATGTGCGTTGGCCGGGAATCGAACCCGGATCAATTGCTTGGAAGGCAACTATGCTAACCATTATACCACCAACGCTTTTCACGAAAATGAGAGGTATTGGTTGACCCATGGTCTTGTCTTGTGTCAGTACGTTTCCACGGTAACGGGAGACTTATAACTGCATTAACACTTTCCTCCCTATAACTGTAACTCGGGTTTATAAAAAACACCTTATAGTGTAATGGATGACAATAACGGATGAGGAGGGAGAAACGTGGTAATACAGACAACAAACAAACGAACAAACTAAAAACATCTAATAATGAAAACATTAAGCGAGCAAAAACAAAGGGTAGTAACTCTTAAATGCACACAAAGAAACAAATATTTTTCGTGCAATGTAAAGGGACACATACGCTTAAAATCAGAAAAACAATGCATGTGATGGAAGCTTTCCTTCTCCATTGTATGTATCGCGTTATTGTTGAGATGATAATCTTATTTAGGACATCTTGATTTTTAGGTTTCGTATTATTATTTTTCCTTAATTTGCATTTTCTTAATGCTTTTTCTCTCTTCTTTGAACCTGTTTACATCAAGCTCACAAACCCGTTGTTTGCAATGTACATATGTGTTATGTATATTATATTATTTCTTGGGGATTCACATGACGTACTATATCATTATCATTTAAGGCTGGGAATAATCTTCTTATCGTGTCATGTAAATAATTGGCAACGGTATTATATTCATTATACGAAAATACATTTCATGTGCCGATGTGTAAGACATTAAAACAATTTTTAACTTGGGTTCGATTTGGAGAGAGAATCCCCTAGCTGAATAAGTAAGTGTATTAAATGCCACGTCAACATGGTTGCCACATAAGCTAAGATAGCCGTCCAATCCCGTTTATATCCATGCCACAGCAATGCGGCCAAACTGACGATGAAATTCTTTCCACCTCTCCTTCTCTTTTCTCTGTCTCTCTTTCTCTCTCTATATATATCTCTCTCTCTCTCTCTCTCTCTCTCTCTCTCTCTCGTTGACTCTATCTCTTCTCTCTTCTTTCCCCTCTCTTTCTCTCTCCATCTATAAATCCCCTCTCCCTCTCCTCATTTCTCTTACTCTTCTATATCCATCTCTCTTTCCCTGTCATTTTCTATATTCTCTCTCTTTTTTGTGTTTATTCTCTCGCTCCCTTCTTAGCTCGCTAGAATCTCAGAGAGAGAGAAAGTTAAAGACAGGGATAGTTACTGAAAGAGAGAGGGAGAGAGATAGTTAAAGAGAGAGAGAGAGAGAGAGAGAGAGAGGAAGAGAGAGAAAGAGAGTTAAAGAGAGAGAGACAGAGAGAGACAGATGGACAAAGAAAAAGAAAGGACGGGACGGAGAGGGAGATGGCGAAATACATTGCTTTGAAAGTTATTTTTGTCGGTCGTCTGAGAAAAGAATTTTGTCCACGGAAAAAAGTAAAAATATACTTAGGCTTAAAAATATATATGTAATTCATAATTTTGTGTTAATTTAGTGGAATATTCGGTTCAATGAGTTATCTGAGTTCGGTATTTCAAACAACAGCTCTTCAGATTATAGGAATTACTTGTTTCTTCATCCCTCTTTCCGCCTCCCTTTGAAAAGGTGTGAACGGTTATCGAGCCATAATTGGTCGAGAGTTCGTCCGTGAAAAGTTCAAAGTCCAGTCTATTGTATCAGCCGCTCTCATATAAACCTTGCGTCTTGCACTGATGACGTAACAACGAATACGGTGACGTAACAAAGATCTTACCGAAATACATAACACAGCCAGTGCAGGAGACATCTTCAATTACTGTTTCAGTTTAATGAATGGAAACGTTTGAAAAGTGGGTGATATACTCATAGTATACTTGTCAAAGGAATCTGCTTTTGTTTATCATCGAAGTCTTGATTTTTTTTGGGTACGTTTATGTTATTTACATTTTATGACACATTAGTTACACTTGTTACTAAAAGTGAAAAATATATCATGAACAAACGTAGCTACCAAGAACGATATCATCCTAAAAAACACAAAAAACAAGCAGACAGACAAACAACAAAATAATCATATCAATTTTCAACAAACACATGATAAGATGGAGATTGCATACAAATTGATAAGCTGAGGTTTCACTAAATAGAATAACATCATTATTGAATATCCCTTTCTTATGTATGTCACAAACCCATTTTATTATCCACTTTATTTGCACAATTTTACAACCAGTATGGTGGAGAAAAGGTCGTTCAACCCTGTAAATAAAAAGCAAAGTTATTCCGCTTAATCCTGCAACACCAATTGTGATCAAAACTGGGCGTTTTCTCAAGCTGTGATTGGTCGAGAGTTTGTCGGCTAAATAGAGAGTGAATAAGCCAGTTTCGTAATGTAACCAAATTTAATGCATACGTCTTTGTGAAGTGCCTCAATACAAATTATTTCATTCACCTGATAAGAATAATAGTATTTCAATAGTCAGAATGCAACTGCATATATTAAGTGTTGCTAGGTAGGTCAAGCCATAGGGTGGTATTCCGGTAGCGCGTACTAAGTTAGCACGTGCTTAGTTAGTTCACACTTTTATGGAGTGCATGTTGTGAACTAATTTACCCTGAACAGATTATTTTAATCCTTCAATGAAAAGTGTCCAAAAATTTAATTTTGCAATGAAATGGGAAGAAAAAGATCATATGAGTATGAACTGAATTTCAACAAAGTCTTTGGTAGATTATCTTTGTCATGAATATTGAAGGAGGAAGATGAAACCTAGCATTCCATAGAAGTGTGAACTAAAATTGTTGCTTAGTCTGGACTTAGTCCCGGCTTAACTTATGAGAATACCACCCATAATGTTTGTCCAACCTGGCAACAACTTAATATATGCAGTTGCATTCTGACTATTGAAATACTATTATTCTTATCAGGTGAATGAAATAATTTGTATTGAGGCACTTCACAAAGACGTATGCATTAAATTTGGTTACATTACGAAACTGGCTTATTCTATTATGACGCCATTGGTCAAGCCGCTTTAAATTGACCATTCATTGGTGACGTAACAATGGCATATATCGATTGCTGGTGCCTTGCATCGCGGCTCTAGGTCAAAGTCAGAAATATCGACGTGAATACCCATAAGAAGAAAAACGTGGAATTCTTTTAGGAGTCTGATTTTTTTTCTTCGTAACCCAAGTTTCTCAAATAAATCTTATTTCATGCAAAATAAACTCGATGAGAGTCTTTGTGACGTGCACCACTATGAGATAAAAGCAAACAATAATATTAACCAATAAATAAGCACAGAATTGCAACACTGAATCTGGATTCATCGGTTTTTCTTCACCTATTTTCCAAAAGTGATTTGTTGGGTTATATACTTGATGAATTGTATCTATTTTAGCTTCATGTATTCGATCAATCTTGTCCATTGTATACCTTTTTATTAATATCTGCAACACGAGAAACAAAACGTCTCTGTAACTACAACATCGAGTAAATTGTGCTGGCTCGCAATTATGTTAACTTTGATTAATATGATGAAGTCTCAACAACAAAAAACAATGAAAAAACAAATCAAGAACACAACATTATACCGCATTTTTTGGTAATAAGCTCCGAAGCGTAATGTACAAAAAGTCTGGTAAAATGGACGAACCGATACAAATGTAATACCTGTACCATGATACATAAATATCTTTATAATCAGATTATAATATATTGGATAGTAACTTTATTTTGGTCGGATGGAAAATGAATGAACAAATGTCATCGAATTACATTACTGGCATCTTTTATATTAAACTCTCATTTTCATTCTGTCGACGTCGCGGTAATTTTGTTTTGGAATACGATTGTACACTTTATATTGTCATGTTGGGTAAACCTCCTTTCTTTGTGAATACTCTTCCCTCTTTTTGTATTTGTTTATTTTTGCAACCTCTCCACTATTGTACTCATGCCCAGAAAGTGTTACTTCTATGTATATTGCTGCCTCGGACATGTATTTCACTTTTTACCATTTATCTGCTTTTTGTTTAAATATATTCATTTTTGTATTTTTTGTATTTTTTGTATTTTTTTTTTGTTGGGGGAGGGGGTATCTTTTTTTTTACTTTATCAAATCTTGTAAATATTTGATTTTCATAGTTTGCTTTAATAAAATACCGTCACACACACACCAACAAGAAATGTTGGCCAAACCTGACTGAAAACTTTACTGTGATCAGATTTTAATTG